CATGCACACGTATGTTTATTGCGGCACTATTCACAATAGCAAAGACTTGGAACCAACCCAAATGTCCATCAATGATAGACTGGATTAAGAAAATGTGGCCCATATACACCATGGAATACTGTGCAGTCATAAAAAAAGTGATGAGTTCATGTCCTTTGTTGCGACATGGATCCAGCTGGAAACCGTCATTCTCAGCAAACTATTGCAAGAACACAAAACCAAACAGCGCATGTTCTCTCTCATAGGTGGGAATTGAACAATGTGAACACTTGGACACAGGGTGGGGAACATCACACACCGGGGCCTGTTGTGAGGTTGGGGGAGGCGAGAGGGATAGCATTAGGAGATATACCTAATGTAATTGACGAGTTAATGGGTGCAGCACACCAACATGGCACATGTATACATATGTAACAAACCTGCACGTTGTGCACATGTACCCTAGAACATAAAGTATAATAATAACAAAAAAACCTAAAAAAAAAAAAACCACTAAATTTAGCCAGATGTTGTGGCAGGCACCTGTAGTCCCCACTACTTGGGAGGCTGAGGCAGGAGAATCACTTGAACCCAGGAGGCAGAAGTTGCAGTGATAATGCCACTGCACTCTAGCCTGAGTAACACCTGGGTGACAGAGTGAGACTCCATCTCAAAAAACAAATAAAATAAATACAAAACGAAAAGAATAGATCACGGGAGTGGAACCCTCATGAGTGGTTTTGCGAATAGTTGTGGTGATGAGTGAATACTTGCTTTGAGTTTAGGCTCTGATTGTATAAAAGTGTGTGGCACCTGCCCCTCTCCCTTGCTCCCTCTCTTGCTATGTGATATGCCTACTGCTTCTTCACCTTCTGCTATGATTGTAAGTTCCCTGAGGCCATCACCAGAAGCAAGATGCCATTGCCATACTTCCTGTACAGCCTGCAGAACCATGAGCCAAATAAGCTACTTTTCTTTATAAATCACACAGTCTTAGGTATTCCTTTATAGCAACAGAAGAAAAAATGTAATATAGAAAATTGATATTGAGGATTGGGGCATTGCTATAAAACTACCTGAAGATGTGGAAGCACCTATGGAACTGTGTAACGGGCAGAAGTTGCAAGAGTGTGGAAAGCTGAAAAGGAGAAAGATGAGGTAAAGTTTGCCCTGCTCAACCTTGGGACGCTGTTCCCCACATCCTAACTGCTCCAGCTCCAGCTGCAGCTCAGAGGACTCCAGATAGATCTTGGGCATCTGCTCCAGTGGATACAAGCTGTAGATCTTTGCAGCTTCCTTGTGACATTAAGTCTGTGGTCACACAGAATGCAACAGTGAGGGGGGCTTGGTAGCTTCTGACTGGATTTCAGAGGATACATCAGAAAGCCTGGGTGCCTAGGCAGGAACCTGCCACAGCGGAAGAACCCCCACAGAGTGACTCCACTAGGGCAATGCTATTGGGAAACATAGGCTTGCAGTCCCCACATAGGGTCCTCACTGGGATACTGGCTAGTGGAGCTGGGGGAAGGGTATTGCTGCCCTCCATATCCCAGAATGCTAACCTGACTGCAGCTTGCACCTTCTGCCTAGAAAAGCTGCAAGCATTTAACTCCAACCCATGAGAGCAGCCACATGGACTACGTTCTGCAAAGCCATATGAGTGGGGCTGCCCAAGGCCTTGAAAGTCCATCCCTCACACCAGGATGTGGGATATGGGGTCAAGGATTATGTTAAAGCTTTAAGAGATTTAATGTCTGCCCTGCTGGATTTCAGACTTATGTGGGGCCTATTGTCCCTTTCATTTGGCTGATTTCTCCCTTTTGGAATGTGAATGTTTACTCAATGCCTGTACCACCATTGTATCTTGGAAGTAACTAACTTGTGTATTTGTGTGTGTGTGTGTGTGTGTGTTTCTTATCTCACAGGCTCATTGGAAGTAACTCATCTCCAGACGAAACTTTGGGCTTGAGAACTGAGACTTTTGAATTAATGCTGGAACAAGTTAAGACTTTGAGGTACCATTGAGAAAGGATTATTGTATTTTGCAATATGAGAAAAATATGAGATTTGGGGTCCAGGAGTGCAATGATATGTTTTGGATGTCTGTTCCCTCTAAATGTGTTGAAATATAATCTCCACTGTTGGAGGTGAGACCTGATGGGAGGTGTTTGAATCATGCGGGCAGATCCATCATCTTCTTGGTGATGAGTAAGTTATTTCTCTGAGTTTATACAACATCTTGTTGTTTAAAAGTGTGTGGAATCTTTCCCCTCTATCTCTTGCTCCCCCTCTCACTATATGATATGCCTACTCTTTCACATTCCACCATGATTGTAAGCTTCCTGAGATCCCCCCAGAAGCAGATGCCAGCTGTATGTTTCTTGTACAGTGTATTAGTTCACTACTGCCCAGTGTGAAAATTGAAAATTGTTCTAGTTAGTTTTCATGCTGTATTAGTATTAGTTAGTTTTCATGCTGCTGATAAAGTATTAGTTAGTTTTCATGCTGCTGATAAAGACATACCTGAAACTGGGAACAAAAAGATTTAATTGGACTTACAGTTCTATATAGCTGAGAAGGCCTGAGAATCATGGTGGGAGGTGAAAGGCACTTCTTATACAGCGGCAGCAAGAGGGAAATGAGGAAGAAGCAAAAGTGGAAACCCCTGATAAACCCATCAGATCTCATGAGACTCATTCACTATCACAAGAACAGTCCAGGAAAGATCCATCCCTATAATTCAATCATCTCCCATCGGGTTCCTCCCATGACACGTGGGAATTGTGGGAGTTACAATTCAAGATCAGATTTGGGTGGAGGCACAGACAAATCATATCATACAGCCTGCAGAACTGTGAGCCAAAATAAGCCATGTTTTTCTTTATAAATTACTCAGTCTCAGATATTCCTTGACAGAGATGGAAACATACTAACACATACATCTATAGGAAAACATCCTTTTCTGACAAAGGAAATCAATGTAATTGGAAGGAATGACTGTTACATGCAGATAAAAATGTAAGGATACAAGAAACATTAAAATATTGTTTTAAATGACACCTCTAAAGAAACACAACAATTCTCCATCAAAGAATTTCCACAAAAAAGAAGTGTACAAAATTGCTGAAGAAGAATTCAAAATAATATTAATGAAGCTCAGTGATATACAAGAGAACACAAATAAATAATGCAAACAAGAAATATTTATGATTAAAATGAGAAATTCAATAAAGAAATAGATATCTTTTAAAAAGAACCAAACAGAAACCCTGGAACTGAAAATAATCAATAAATGAAATTAAAAATACAATGGAGACCTTCAACAATAGACCAGATTAAGCAAAATATAGTAATTTTAGACTTGAATACAGGTCTTTTGAAATAACCCAGACAAATAAAAAGAGTAAAAGAATAAAAAAGAATGAAAAAAGCTTATTTTAGAGATGGAACACAATAAAGCAAAGAAGTATTCCAAATTTGGGTGTTCCAGAAGGAGAATAGATGGGCAAGGGCATAGAAAGCCTATTTAATAAAATAATACCTGAACACTTACCAAGTATTGCAAGAGATATAGACATCCAGATACAAGAAGCTCAAAGACCCCCAAATACATTCAACACAAATATTTCTTCAAGACACACTGTAGTCAAACTGTCAAAGACACTGATATTTCTAAAACACCAAAATAAGTGTCAAGTCACATATAAGGAAATCCCCATCAAACCGACATTGGGTTTTGTTGCAGAAATCTTACAGGTCAAGAGAGAATAGGACCATATATTCAAAGTGTTGAAAGAAAAACTAACATCCAAGAAGACTATATCTAGCAAAGCTATCCTTCAAAACACAAAAGCAAAATAAATTATTCCCCAGGCAAGCAAAAACTGAGGGCATTAATTACCACTACACTGGTCCTATTTAAAAAATGGTTAAGGAATTTCTACATCTGGAAGTGAACAGGTGATATAGGCCATCACGAAAACACACAAAAGTATAAAACTCATTGGTAGAGCAGACACATAAATGAGAACAAGAAAGGAGTCAAACAATAGCACTACGGGAAACCACTAAACAGTAATAATAAATAATAAGAAAGGAAGAAAGGATCAAAGGATATACAAAGAAACCCATAAAACAATCAACAAAGAACAGAAATAATTCCTCAACTATCAATAATAACCTTGAATGTAAACACATTAAATTCCCAATTTTAAAATATAGACTGGCTACATGGATGTAAAAACATGACCCAACTATATGATTCCTATAAGAAACTCATCTCACCTGTAGAGACACATGTAGACTGAAAGTAAAGAGGAAAAACAATATTCCATGCAAACAGAAACCAAAAGTGAGCAGGAGTATCTATACTTACATCATATAAAATGGACTTCAAGTCAAAAACAGTAAAAGAAGACAAAGAAGGCTATTATATAATCATAAAGGGATCAGTTCAGCAAGAGGACATAACAATCATAAATACGTATACACTCAACATTAAAGCACACAGGTATATAAAGCAAATATTATTATCTCTAAAGGAAGAGATAGACTCTAATACAATAAAGATTGGGGACTTCAACAACTCATGCTCGGCAACAGAAGATCATTTAGAGAGAAAATCAACAAAGAAACACTGAAATTAAAGTGCACTTTAGACCAAATGGAACTACCAAATAATTACAGAACATTTTATTCAAAAGCTGAAGAATAAACCCTCAGAATAGAAAACATTCTCCATAATAGATCGTATGTTAGGTCATAAAACAAGTTTTAAGAAATTAAAATAAAATTGCATCAAGTGTCTTATCAGACAAAAATGGAACAAAACCAGAAATCAATATCAAAAGAAACTTTAGAAACTGTACAAGGCTCAATGTGCATGCCTGCCAGTACTCTGCACATTCACTTCTGCCAGGGCCAGGCCAGGACAGGAAGAGGAAGGCTTCTGGCATTTGTGTATGGGCCAGTATTGATGCAAGCACTGCAGGAGCCCTGACTCCACAGCATGTTTGAGCTCATTCCTCTCCAGCTTCTCTGCAGTTGGGAGCTGTTTGTTCATGGACACTGAACCCCACCAGAGTAGTCTGTGGCCCAGCAGCCACACCCACAGCTCAGTATCTTGGAAGTCTTTCGAGATACCTGATGATGTACCTCTGCCAGCAGACTGGGAGATAGCAAAGACATCTTCTGGTCAGAGATACTTCTTAAATCATATTGATCAGACAAGAACGTGGCAGGACCCCAGGAAGGCCATGTTCTTTCAGATGAATGTTACAGCCCTCACCAGTCCTTCAGTGCAGCAGAATATGATAAACTCAGCCTGAGATCCTCTTCCTGATAGATAGGAACAAGCCATGACTCAGGATGGAGAAATTTACTACATAAACTATAAGAACAAGACCACCTCTTGGCTAGACCCAAGGCTTGACCCTCGTTTTGGTAAAGCCATTAACGAGAGAATCAGTCAGAGTGCTCCAGTGAAACAGCCACCACCCCTGGCTCCCCACAGCCCACAAGGAGGCGTCATGGATATTGGCAACCTCAACCAGCAGCAACAGATTCCACTGCAGCAATTGCAGATGGAGAAAGAGAAAGTGCAACTGAAATAGCAAGAACTACCTTGGCAGGAGTTAGTGTTCTGTAGCCAGTTACCAACACTGGAGCAGAATGGTGGGACTCAAAATCCAGTAACTTCCCCTGAGATGTCTCAGGAATTGAGAACAATGATGACCAATAGCTCAGATGCCTTTCTTAACAGTGGCACCTATCACTGTCAAAACAAGAGTACAGACAGTGGACTAAGCATGAGCAGTTACAGTGTCCCTGACATCCCCAATGACTTCCTGAACAGCATTGATGAGATGGATACAGGTAATACTATCAAACAGAGAACTCTGCCCTCACAACAGAACCATTTCCCAAACTACCTCGAAGCCATTAGTGGTACAAATGAGGACCTTGGAACACTGGAAGGAGATGGAATGAACATAGGAGAGGAGTTGATGCCAAGTCTGCAGGAAGCTTTGTGTTCTGACATCCTTAATGACATGGAATCTGTTTTGGCTCCTACAAAGCTAGATAAAGAAAGCTTTCTTACATAGTGATAGAGACCTAAGATAGACTGAATTCTAAATCTGTGAAGGATCTAAAGAAATAAGACATATATGCCTGCAATTTCCAAGTAAGCCAGTTGCAGTTTTCTGTTAATACAGAAAAAGTCGAACAAATGTCCAGCAAGACTCTTTCATCCACTATTTTGCTCTTCTTTGTCTATTGCTGCTGTTAATATATTGTTGACCTCTTTCACAGCTGGCCCTAAGGGAATCAAAAATTTAAAAAAAATGGTTTCTTTTGCTATTATAACTACTATTCATTCTGGGGACTTGGGAAGCCAGCCTGTTTGGATGATGGATGCCATACCTTTTGCTTAGTTAAATGTTCACTGATTGACTGGGCATGGTGGCTCATGTCTGTAATCCCAGCACTTTGGGAGGCCAAGGTGGGCAGATCACCTGAGGTCAAGAGTTCAAGACCCACTTGGCCAACATGGTGAAACCATGTCTCTACTAAAATACAAAAATTAGCTGGGCTTGGTGGTGGGCGCCTGTAATCTCAGCTACTGGGGAGGCTGAGGCAGGAGAATTGGTTGAACCCAGGAGGTAGAGGTTGCAGTGAGCTGAGATCACACCCACTGCACTCCAGCCTGGGTGGCAGAGCCAGACTCTGTCTCAAAATAAATAAATAAATAAAATTTAAAAGTTTACCTATCATTTCAAGTAAATACTCTGACTTAGAAATCAAATGCTTCATGTCACAGTTTGTTCAACAATTGTTTCTTCAGCTGCCTTTGGTCAGTGTAAAAACATGACTTACTGGTCTGACAAGCCAAAAATGTTAATTCCGATATTAAGTACTTAATGCTGATTTGAAGAGATAACTGAAACCAAGGCTGAAGACTGTTTTTCTTTCAGTGTTTTCTTTTCCTTCTAGGGTTATCATTGGTCACATAGTGACCTAAAATAAAAGGAGGGACCACTTTTAATTTCAGGAGCTTATAAAGTGTGAGGCAATTTCCATAGAAATATATTAATTATTGCCACATAGTCTAGTATAGGTTTTGGTGAATATTTTTGTTGGTGTTAGTTTTGTTTTTTTTCTTTTTTTTTTTTTTTTTTTTTTCTTTTGCTTGGTTGGTTAGTTTTGTTGAAAGCTAGGCAAATGATCATTTAGCAAATCTGTTCATAGTTGTAGCTCCAGACGGTTATTGTAGTTGTTTTGGCAAAATCTTCATTTCCTGTTTTTTAACCATATTATATAAATCTTGATTATATGCTCTCTCTTTTACACACACACACACACACACACACACACACACACACACACACACACAATGTTTATAATAGTGTGATAGTGGAATGTATCTTTTTTTTTTTTTTTTAGGTTTCCCTACTTTCCAACTAATTTTTAAAATGGTAGCTTTGTGTGCTAAGCTGGTAGTTTATATTTCACTCACAGTTTAAATTTGGTTGGGGCAGTCTGCAGATGTTAGAAATATTTTCGTGTTCTAGAAAGGGCTGTTGCTATGGATAGTGCCTAGGGAAGTACTCTATGCCCTCTGGGCGTACAATACATTATATCTGATACATTGGAAAGGTACAAACAAGAAATGGCTTTATTTTCCCTCCTTGGACTATATTGGACTAATTTTTAAGTCTTGGTGGAAAATCACTGAGTAGGTTCATAATATGCCTGACAGATTTGTAGTTGTTTACCTTCATTTAGCTTTGGAAGTTTACCTTCCAAAGTTCACCTTCACCTTGGTTTTGGAAATAAATTCTAGTTTGTAGTTCTCATTTGTAATGAACACATTAAAGACCAGATTGAAATATTGCCTTCAAGATTGTTCTTACTTGTAAGACTTGCTCCTACTTCTGTATGCTTAAAATTGACTCTGGATAGAATACTATAAGGTCATGATTTAGCTGGAAAAGTGATTAGATTAATAAATGTATATTGGTAGTTATATTAAGCAAAGAAATAGAGATAATCATGATGATATCTTTATTTTTACAGGATGATATGTAATTAAAGTACATGTCTACAGGAGTAATAATGATTTCCAAAGATTATTTTTAAAGGAAAAGAAATGAGCATGAATTAACTCTGCAATATAAGCTATGAAGTAATAGTTGGTTGTAAATTAAAGTGGCACCAGCTAGCACCTCTATGATTCAAGGGTCTTTCAATGTTTCTAAAATAAGCCCTTATTTTTAAGGGGTTCTAACAAACAAAATCTCTTTTCCTGGAAAAAATTGCTATGAAAAGCCTCAGATTGGGAAGATAGATTTTTTTCCCCCAATTACAAAAATCTAAGTATTTTGGCCCTTCAATTTGGAGGAGTGCAAAAATTGGAAGTAAGAAGTTTTAAGTACTTTCAGTGCTCAAAAAATGTGCAATCACTGTGTTGTATATAATAATTCATAGCTCAATCACTCGTAATAATTGACTCTAAGACTTTTATTGAGAAAACAGCAGAAAGATTAAACCTTGATTTCAGTTTGAGGGAAAATGGCCACTGTACAGATGGAGTTTTAAAGTAGTAATGAAATTCTACCTAAAATGCAATATTGAGTATTTTAATTATACAGCATATTGGTGGGTTTTTTTTAATGTGCAGAGGATCAAAGCTACTTGGAAGGAGTGCCTATAATTTGCCAGTAAGCCACAAATTAAGATTCTACCTTATATATCAGAAGAGTAGTTAGCTTAGGGGGAAGGTGAGAAGGTGTGGGGGGATATTAAGATTTAGTAGGATCTTGATAGAGAAATTTATAAACTTTTTTATCTTTTTTTTTTTTTTTTTTTTTTTTTGAGATGGAGTCTTGCTCTGTCACCCAGGCTGGAGTGCAGTGGCAGGATCTCAGCTCACTGCAAGCTCCTCCTCTCGGGTTCACACCATTCTCCTGCCTCAGCCTGCCGAGTAGCTGGGACTACAGGCACCCGCCACCTCGCCTGGCTAGTTTTTTGTATTTTTTAGTAGAGACGGGTTTCACCGTGTTAGCCAGGATGGTCTCGATCTCCTGACCTTGTGATCCGCCCGTCTCGGCCTCCCAAAGTGCTGGGATTACAGGCTTGAGCCACCGCGCCTGGCCGAGAGTCCTTTCTTTTGAATGTCAGTCATAGCCTTGATGTGGTCTCTTGTTTTGTGTTCTAGTTCTTAATGTAAAAGTGCTTAACTGCTCCTTGGTTGTATTGGGTAGCATTAGGGTAAGATTTTACATGGGTATTATTAACTGAAAAGAATACAAATGTAAAAAGCTGGTAAATTTAAAGATTATAAAATTTGTTTATTGTAAAAGCAATTTAAGAATATTCATTTGCCCAGTTATACCTCAATGTTGTAGCAGTGCTGCGATACCTGACACAGTGCTTTAGTCTATAATGATCAGTAATGTTGAGCTTTTATTCATGTTTATTGGCTGCATGTATGTTTTCTTTTGAGAAGTATCTGTTCATGTCATTTTCCCACTTTCTAATGGGGTTGTTAGTTTTTTTCTTGTAAATTTTTTAAGTTCCTTGTAGACTCTGGATATTAGACCTTTGTCATATGGATAGATTGCAAAAGTGTTCTCCCATTTTGTAGGTAGTCCGTTCATCTGATGATAGCTTATTTTGCTGTGCAGAAGCTCTTTAGTTTCATTAGATCTCATTCTTCAATTTTTACTTTTGTTGCAATTGCTTTTAGCATTTTCATCATGAAACATTTGCCTGTGCTGATGTCCTGAATGGTATTGCCTAAATTTTCTTCTAGGGTTTTTATAGTTTCAGGTTTTGCATGTAAGTCTTTAATCAATCTTGAGTTAATTTTAGCATAAGGTTTAAGGAGGGGTTCAGTTTTTAATTTTCTGCATATAGCTAGCAAGTTTCCCCAGAGCCACTTATTAAATAGGGAGTCCTTTCCCCATATCTTGTTTTTGTCAGGTTTGTCAAAGATCACTTGGTTGTATGTGTTTGGCCTTATTTCTGAGTTCTCTATTGTGTTCCATTAGTCTATGTGTCTGTTTTTGTACTAGTACCATGGTGTTTCGGTTACTGTAGCCTTGTAGTATAGTTTGAAGTTGGGTAGCATAATGCTTCCAGCTTTGTTCTTTTTGCTTAGGATTGTCTTGGCTATACAGGGTCTTTTTTGGTTCCATATGAATTTTGAAATATTTTTTTTTCTAATTCTGTGAAAAATGTTAATGGCACTTTAGTGGAAGTAGCATTGAATCTATGAATTACTTTGGGCAGTATGGCCATTTTTATGATATTGATTCCTTCTATCTAAGAGCGTGGAATGTTTTCCCATTTGTTTGTGTTCTCTCTGATTTCCTTGTGCAGTGGTTTATAGTTGTCCTTTAAGAGGTCTTTCACTTCCCTTGTTAGCTGTATTCCTAGGTATTTTATTCTCTTTGTAGCAATTGTGAATGAGAAATCATTCATGGTTTGGCTTTTTGCTTGCCTGTTGTTGGCGTACAGAGATGCTAGCAATTTTTGGACATTGATTTTGTACCCTGAGACATTACTGAAGTTGCTTATCAGGTTAAGAAGATTTTGGGCTGAGATGATGGGGTTTTCTAGATATAGAATCGTCATATGCAAACAAAGATAATTTGACTTCTTCTCTGCCTATTTGAATACCCTTTATTTATTACTCTTGCCTGATTGCTCTGGCCAGAACTTCCAACAACATGTTGAATAAGAGTGGTAAGAGACAGCATCCTTGTCTCGTGCCAGTATTCAAGGGGAATGCTTCCAGGTTTGGCTCATTTAGTATGATAATTGGCTGTAGGTTTGTTGTATATGACTCTTTTATTTTGAGGTATGTTCCTTCGATACCTAGTTTATTGAGACTTTTTAACATAAAGTGATGTTAAATTTTATCAAAGGCCTTTTCTGCATCTATTGAGATAATCATGTGGTTTTCGTATTTAGTTATGTTTATTTGGTGAATTACATTTATTGATTTATGTATGTTGAACCAACCTTGCGTCTCGGGGATGGAGCCAATTTGTTCATGGTGGATATGCTTTTTGATGTGTTGATGGATTCAGTTTGCTAG